ACTATTACCCCACATTTTTTCAAACTATCTGCAGGGCCCCAATCAATAGTCAGTTATTCGGGCGGAATCTTGTTTGTATCCTGCTTCGTGTCAGAAGCTTCAGTGGTACAGTTCAGGTGAACGGGCGATCGACACATGATTATTTGTGTGAAGTGATTTTGTCAACTGTCGGCTCATCAACTGTGCGGTGCGTGTATCTTCCTGACCTGACCAACAAACTCTTCTCACCGAATTTCATATATACCGAAAAAATCATGAGCGACGGTCGACCATCCGCTTCTGTGTCGCTGCATTCCTCAGGTGCCTACCTCCTTCTTTGGATGCTTCGTGCCCGCGCAAATTTTCTAATCAATTTGTGTTGAATGTATTGATTAGTAGGCGTCACTTCAGCCGAGGAACTGGCCGAAAAATATCAGAAACTGTTCTCCGAGTTTTCGAGGTGAGTGCGTTTTCCGTTGCTTCACCTCGTTTCCCTCCGCTTTTGCGAACGAGGCTTACGCGGGATTTCCACAACTCGGTAGGATAAAAGCACAACATTCCGTCCTCAAGAGAGCTGTCATCAAGGTTTGGATGAATTCGAGAGGCGTGTCGTGAAATTTTATGGTTGGATTGATGAATGATCCAATTTTTCATCTTGTCAATAGGAACAAGAAACCAATGCTGCATTGCAAGACGAATGCAAGTCAAAAGAACGAGAATTACGTTCGGTGAGAATCATTCCGTCTCGTCAAATTACAGGGCATTGTCTTTTTTTTTCTAATTGCCGCCATTCCATTCCATTCCATTACACAGTCAATTCAACAATTGGACCTCTTAACCTTTCACAACCAACGGCTAACGAAACGTATCGAATTCTTACAAGATTCGAGCGCCGCGGTAATTTATCTTTGATTATCCTTTCCCTCGAAAAAGTATTGTACATACACGCGTATATGCCTATTATTTATCGATGAATATTTGATATCATCAGAGGTTGAGGCCGGGATGGTTGGTGGGTTCGTCAAAGAAGGAACTTGAAAAATCAAAAGTCACCCTGGAGGTTACCAGCGGAGAGTTGACGAGTAAGATAGAAGAAAACGGTACATCATCTTTAACGTTATCGTGTGTTTAAATTTGCTATCGATTCGTGCGTCTATCATCGTGGTGATCTGATGTAACCGTTGTCAATCGGTTTCTTTGTTCACGTGTCCAGAAAAATTACACAAAGAACTTTATGAAGTCAACAGTCTATATACCCAACATTTAAATAACCTTCAGGCCAAGGTAGCGGATTTGGAGAAAAAGACCGAAGATCTTCAGGTGAATGAACGAGTGTTTTTTTTTCTTTTAAAGGTTCATTCCTCCTTTGGTAAGAAACAAATCACCAATCCAAGTTTTATATTAGGATGAATTGACAAGATCACACATCGCCAGCGAAGAGGCTTTGAACATGATACGTCAAGAGAAACGTGAACTTGACTCCGAGCTTGATCAGACGCGGGCGGAACTTCGAAAGTATTTATTAGGTTTGAATACCTTTAGGTCTTGTGCACTTCATCGGTAGACATTTGACATCGAACTTTTTTTTTCCACTTAGAACAAAGTCACTCATGGAAAAGAATGAACAGAAAATGAGAGAGGACGATGACATGATACGAGCTGAGGTGATCACAATGTTATCGATAAACTTGGGTATAGAGGAATCTCAAAATGATCAATTCAACGTATGTGACGGTTTCCTCCCCTTGGACAATCCATTCTTCAAAATTTGACGATCTAACTTTACCCCCCCTCCCCCTCACCACCTTCCTGTTGTGTAGACCTTGCAAGAAAAGATTGACGAAGAATCAAATGAACTAATTGCGAGTTTCAAGCAATTGCAATCAAGTTCCCGAGATTATTTAAAATCACTAAAGGAAAAGGTATGCACAAACGTGAATGCACGCGCATTTTCATCGTCTCATTCCGGACCTTTTCTTTTTCTTTTCATCCTTTAGTCGATATCTTCACACGAGAGAGGATTGAAGGCTAAAGATGCGAGCCAAATATGGCACAGGAATTTGCATAATTTTGCGATAAAATTAACGACTGCTCATAGTATGTGTCATTTGTCTATTCTTTTTTTTTTTCTTAAAAAAAGAGTTTAACGGTTTCGAAATTATTCCTCTCCGCCTTAAAGATCGAGTATCCGAGTTAACGGCAGAGAAGGAAAATCTTGTTAGAGTAAATGAGAATGACACGACTAAAGTTGCTGCCTTAGAGAAAGAAATCATCCGACTAAAGGAAGAGTTGGAGAAGCAAAAAGTAATATTTTTTATGATAAATGAGATAATTATGTTGTGCGAATATAGAGGATGCTTTTTGTTCAAATAAATTAAAAATATGGTATATTCACTAAAGCTATATAATTCAATGGTGAATTGAGATTAAAACTCAAAGAAGTAATCTTTTCTTTCTTTTTTGCAACGATTTTAGCTGACCCTTGTTGTTCTCATTGTTCACAGGCAAGCGATGACCGACTGGCGGACAACGGTCAACCGAGTTATGCAGGTAATTACGCGCACACATTTACATCCGTTCCAATCGCTGCGAAGACGATGGAAAATTCTGATGTCGATGTCGACACTCCGTTTTTTTTTTTAGTGAGCGAACTCGACGAGGACCAAGACGCCCGTGCTCATCCGGATTCAAAAGAAACCGGATCTCCTCTCTCATTCGAGCATCTCCAAGAAGCAAGCGACAACGAAGACGACGATGATAATGGGGTTGGTCAATCGTTACTCACTTTGTTACTCTTTCGTGTTTTTTTTTTTTTTTTTTTTTTAACCAACGATGGTGATTTATTTCCAGTCAGCGGTATTTGTTTATCCGAGCACCGAAAAAGTAAATTCGAATTCACCCAGTCAGTCGATGAAAGAACCTCTATATCCACCGTCAACATTGATGATTGACGACACCGATAACCTCGGAAACTTTAATGTAGGCACCCTTGAATTGGAACGTGACATAGGGGTATTTAACTGCTTTATCTCAAGTTGCGCGTGATTCGTGACGCCTTGCTAAACTCCTGTTGTATTGATGTGCGCGCCTTTACCTTTTTCTCTATTCACCAGCGGGTCACCAAATCCGAGGATGATGCCAAACAGCGGGAGTCGCTCATCAAAAATCATTATGAGGCAAGGATATCACAGTTGAACGAGCAAGTGAGTTTCAAACTTGTGTTGGGCGAATCGGCAAGACTTGGATGATTAATGTTAAATTATATTTTCAACTTTACAGTTGCAATTGGCCGATAGTAAGTCGGTACGATTAATTAAGACATATGAAATCATGAAAGGAAAATTGGCCGATGCAGAGAATGAAAAGTTGCGATCAAATCAGGAAATTTCTAGATTGCAACATGAAATTTCCACGATAAAGGTAACAAATGATAATATTGTCTCATGGTGGTGAAAAAGATTTCTTTTGTTCTTCGACTAACCGATTGTGTGTCTGCATCCCGCGTAGGAAAAATTCGCCGAAGAACATGCAAATTATAGC